AAAGGTACTGTCGAAATACCGGCCTTAAATGCGTCCTCACCTCGGCCAAGGGCACCAACAACTCGACCTACGACGAATCGCCACCGACGAAATACGTGCGACATTTTGCCAGCACATTAACTAGAGCGTTTGACAAAGGCTGGGGCACCGGTGCCTCGGTCTTGAGCTCTCAGTCGCGTTTTCGACCTCTATGGTTAGGGTTACGGCAGCGATGGGGTAAGACCGGAGGGGTGGACATTGTACAAAGTTTCTGGGATGACAAGATCGGCTGAAGGATAGAGGAATGCTGTATAAAGGAACTAAAAGGGGATACAAACTTAGGAGGCCTTGGTGGGCGACAGGATGAGACCTCCAGTGAAGAAAATGACCCCTGGATGAGATGAGGAGATGCTGAGATGAGCCAAAGCTGCGAATGAATCGAAAGGAAAAGTTACAGATGGCGAAGGTGTCAAGGTCTCGGGCGCGTGGTGGCCGAGGCTGAGTAGGAATCTGCACTTCGGCGCGTCTATAGGGGGTCCTCTGGACGGTTGGGCTTGACATGATTCAACACATGGGTGAAGTCTGAGGTGGTCCGGTCATTTAGGTGGGACGAGGTAGATGTACTTAATGGTAGTCAACCTGATCCAGCCCGGCCCCACCCTTGCTTAAGCTCCATTAGGAGTGCAACGGGAATCACTTTACCTAGCACGTAAATGAACAAGACAAGACAAAAAATTTTGGGAAACTATATCACGACGGGGGTATTTTCTTCCCTCTTTACATATTTCCCATCTCCTTAGTGATAGAAAATTTTTGTAGACTGACGGTTTAAGTTACCTGACACCGCATTTTATCTCGGGCTTCTTCAGATTGGGGAAGTTGGGTGCCTCAAGCTCCAGCGTCATTTCCCCTATTAGGGAATAGTGTATGTAATCATTAGTAAAACATAAAATAGAAAGTTGACAAACAAAAATTGGGGAACAAAGGGAGGAAACCTCTGTCTTTCGGGGCTGTTTTGATTTTTGTGATTTTTCGTTTCTGTTTAATCATCTGCACCTTTGGCAGCGATTCACGCGGATGGAATGGGCTAGGCTGTAGGAAGAATTACAGGGAACCTTGCCGGCTCCACCAGCTCTGCACTTATAGTGGACATGGAGCTTTAGTTTAGGACTTGTTGATTTTATAAAAAAAATATAAAAATTGGGGAACTAGATAAGTGGATTCTGCAGAACCACAAAAACTACCCACTGGCAGCGGAATAGCCGTAATTACCAATATAGAGTCTCAGATGGACTCTACAGGCATCAACTTAGATAAACCTAAAAGATTGGAGCTCTATTTAAACAAGATTTGAGGTAGGCTACTGATAGCGGTAACTAAGCCAGCCATGGGGCCAATGGAGGAGATGAATGAGACCTTCGAGGCCTAAATGGCCTATGCGATAATGTAACAATCGGGTCTAACGGCAATGCAAATGGAGGAACGGATATTGGGCTTAGAGAAGGCAGGAAAGTAAATTCTCGAGGACCCGATCTGCAAGACGGCTCCACATTCGGCACAGGCAATGGGAGGACGACCAACCCACGCATCTTTCGTCGCACCTCTAGCGACTTAAGTGGATTTGCGGATACGAGTACAAGTAGTAGATTAGATGTAGACGGCAGAGCTGCGTAAAATGCCAAATCAAACTTTGAGGATGCATAAGCTTGGAGGTAGTCGCAGAGCTATGACACGAAGGTATTTTTACGGTCAGTCTACCAAGGAGATGCTGGGTCCAGGAAGGCTCAACGGAGCTTTGCGTCCCATAGTAGAGTTATCCTGTTGAGCTTATAAGTCCCTTTGGAAAAAACATGCAGGGAGAAAAAGATGTCAGCTACAGAGAATTAACATAGCAAATGACGGTTGAAACAAGAGTTGGGATTCCTAAATTCCAAATCGATAGGATAAGATGGCTTTATGACGGTAAATAAAACCTATGGATGTAGAAGAATTATTGAAGAGTGGTAGTGTATATGGTCATATACACTCAAAACCTTCAATTGAGTGGATGTGACTACTCAGAGGGCTTAGAGTATACTTGGATGATTATGGCAATAATGTGATTGGTTACAAATGTTATCTCATTATGTTTTTGTTATGTAATGTCACAGATTATTTACATGATAATTAATCAGTCCAACGTACTCCCAGATAGCGCTATTACTAGTCTTTTTTATAGGAGTCATCTACGGGTGAGTGTAGCGATCGGTGGTATCTAATTTATCACTATCCTGTTTCCATTTCCCTGGCTCTGCATGCTACACTACGTGGATGACAATTTACTACTAATGTGATGAGCGCTTTTATAATAAGAATGGCTATGTCGAGGGTCCGTAGTCGTGAGTCTCCCGACCGAGGCCCTTCAATGCAAAGAGGTGAGAAACGGCATTGTATTCGATTTAAAGCGGTACATGGCCCAGCTCTGGTCACTTCGGGCATAAGTCAAGTATTTTTTTTAATTTTTAGGTCCTAAGCTATGGTCTATATCTCCTAGGAGTCAAGTATTGCTTCAACTGCATTTATTGTGGGTATATCAAAGCTTCTTGAGATATGTCAAGGAGATATAGAAGTTGTGCGGGCACACACCAGACCAGAGTCTGCCTGAAGAAGCCGATACTTTACTGTAATGGTGGCAAAGCTGATGTTTCTTTGCAGTGGGAAGCGTATCAGAATTTTGCCTCATAGAAGGTCATTATCCAGAGGGCACGGGATGGACTAATGGAATGAACGGGATAATTTAGAAGGGATGGAATTTTTAATGCAGCAACAACGGTTAACCCATCAGATGACCAAGGATCCAAACGGTGGCCCCACCAAAATACTTAGGGAGTTAAGGGCCACTTCGCCTGCGCAAACAGCTCCTGATTCCAGCCCTATCGGCGCCGAGCTCAAGACAAGAGGCATTTATTTTCGGCACACGAAGAAAAGATGCCGATACATACATTAGCTACTTTTGTCTCGAATTAATGGCCAATAGCACATCCTGTAGATGAACAGGAGAACCAAAATTTTAAATTTCAACTACGGGTAGAATTTTATAGGTAACTTTTCCCATCACGCAAGTACATAAATAGGTTTACAGCCGCCTGCATGGACCGATGGGATGTTTAATTAGTTTGTAATTTTTTAAATCAAATATTAAATTCTATTTCTGTTACACAAGGCATTAAATTGTTCTAGCTGTAAAGGAAAGGATAGTATAATATACACCAGTCTAGGCGCGGGTGTGTAAATGTAAAATGTAGGCATGAAGAACAAAATATCTGCACAAGGGGTCAGATTCTCAATTTCCACTTATATAGATTGAGTATCTTTAGAGTTTAATAAGAAGTAGCCTTCCACGTCTTAGATGAACCTAAACCAAAGACAAAAGACAAAATTAATCCACCAGCTCTCTGTGGATATCATTTGCATTAGAGTAAATATGGGAGCGAACAAGATGGCTTGAGTAAGGGACATGCAAATGTAACTCCCATCTCAACAAACCCAGATGACCCACCCAAGTCTTAGCATTCTGATCACTGATATGGATGGAAGATATATTCACAGATAGACTACCACCATTACAATTGTCCAACTCACGGGTTATACACGTGAATTATAATTCCGTCAATACTTGACATAAGTCCTACTCTAAGGCGTCCATAGGAAAAGAATAGGCTTAATATTTGTCTGCAGTGTCCCCCACAAGCCTCCAGCTCCCACTGAGTAGTCATTAAGGCCAAGGTCGAGTCAAGCATGGGCTAGGATAGCCCTCCTCATGGATGGGTCCCGGACACTCCCCAGTACCCTGGACGACGCGAAGCAATTGGAGTAGGCTTCTTTATAGAGCACAATATTTACTTAGGCCTTCATACCTTATTACAATATTGTACTTTCCCCAAGATGCTAATTATGAAAAGAAATGAAAGGAGTCTTATGAAATAGAGAGGTCCTCTATTTGGTGTATTTAGGTCTACAGCGCCAAACCTTGATAAATAATTCATATTTTTAGCTTTATCTTTGTATTTATTTTTGATATAGGTGGTAGGGAGGTTCTAAACGAAGTGACCATTTCAATTCTTTGGGCTTTCGTACACATAATTACGACTTTTGTTTCGTGAGACACGGAGTGAAGACAAATGAGGGCTAAAAACTCCTCGAAGCGTGTGTTCGAGTGAAGACTCTTAACGAGACCAGTTGTAAAGGAGGCATAGGAGAGGATATACCACCCGAGACATATTATTCTTGGCCAAGATGTAGAGAGGGTCTATATATCTGGTGTAGTCTAACGCTGAGGTAGCACCGGGTTACGTTTGATAAACAAAGGTTTTCCAGGTGTAGTCAGGATCCGATCTCGATGAAACCGGGCATACTATGAGCCGGAACCGAGATCCAGGTTTGAATTTATGAAGAAATTAACTTAAGCGCTGTGGGATGGTGCATATTGCACCATTCCAAGGGTCAGCTATTTGGTTCATTGTTTCTGACGCCGCCAAGCCCCTAGAATTAGAAACGCCCTTCAACTACCGCTAGAGAGATCCACTTGAGTTGAACCTGTCTTGATTCCTCCGCACAACAATGACTTGCATCAAAAAGTTTAGACATCACGCTCGACCCAAAAATTATACTTTTGCAGCTTCTAAATCCTAGCTTGGATTTGTTTAATGAAATTCTCATCTCTATGATCAGAATATCCCAACATCCCATGTTAAATTGAATAAATAGCGCAGTAGAGGCACCGTCAGCCAAGGAAGTATGTTTAGTGTTAAGAAAATCAATTCAGTAAAAGTCCAGGACTTCAAACAATCATTTCCCCAGTGATTTGGGACACTGATCTACTAAGTATTTGTCCAGAGATATAAGAGACATATCCACGTCTGTGTAGAGATGGCGGGTCTCATGAGCGTGTTGGCTTAGACAAAAATTACATCAAACACGAGCAAGCAATCTAATTCCGCAAATTACCTTCAGCGGTCCACAGTTTTAACAAAGGTATCAGCATGCTCTCCCTAGTTTATGTTGCAGCCTATCTTCTCGTCAAACCAACTCATGTCAAAAGTGAAGAACATATCTCTGATTTGTTGAAAACCTTTGTGTGTGAGACGAATCACCACCGAAAAATATTTCACGTAGTAGATTTGGCCAACAACAGAGATACGGCATGCATTAATGTTTACGGCACCCAAGACTTTATGTCCTTGAAACCTTTACATCCTATTGGTGGAACTACCAGGGAACTAGATCCGGATTACTTTATGCGACCCAAGAGACAAAAGGTCGAGATGGATTTGAATACTAAAGAATTTCATATATTTAGCGGTAATGTACCCAAGACACTAATGGAGTCTCACGAAAAATCGCTCAATATAAAATATTATTATCATATTTTCGAAGAAGAAAAAATATCGCTGGATGTGCAATATAATTCTAGACGCCGAAGGGTAGGCTTTGAGGACTTCAAATTGATTCACAAGAAAGATAAAATTACGGTGAAGTACGCTCTCATCATAGACCAAACTTGCAAGATAGCTGCAATAATGATGGTTCCTGATTCGTCTCCGGCTATTAGAGGCCTAAGAAATGGTTCAACCTCAATTCTAAACCTACAAGATCGAGTATTCTGCCGGATTAAGATGCCGACTCACTTTCACATTAAGAAACATACGCAGAATCATGTTGGAAGTCGCCGGCGTTTTGCGATGAGAAAGCAGAGACATCCAGTCGCCATAGATTGTTTTACGCCAACATCAAGGATTATATCAGGCCTAAAAGAAAAAATGCCTATACTCGAACGCTTGGACTCGTTTGGATCCTCGAGGTTCACAGCTGATCTCAAAGAAAAAATGCCTATATTCGAACACTCGGGCTCGTTTGGATCCGCAAGATTTTAATAAACCGTGGCAAAAAAATTTCGAGTAAAATCTAACCAAAATAACAGTAATAAGATCAAAAGGATTGATTGTATATTTTGCTTCATTAAAGATAAAATCTTCAAATTAGGTCAATTTAGCATCTAATTCTTATAAGAAAATAATAGATGGATATGGTGAGGGATTTTGAATTGCTCTCCATCTACAAAATTTAGAATGTATATGTTATGTCGGAATAGCTCTTCTAGTTTGGTTTCCTTGTAGTCGGTGGTTTTTGACTTGAGTGTAAACTATTTCCTTTGTTATGTGGATTCTAATATTCGGACAATATTTTATCCGAATGAAAGATAACTATCTTGTAGCTTCATCATAATAAATAACGCGAATCAACTACTAAGACTCATCTCTTCTGGACGATAATTCAAACTACTTACAAGCGTACTCTCGTAACTTGAGGTTAACTAGTAGGCTTCCAGTGTATGACCTTTCTCATACCAACAGGGTATCCCTTACAGGCCGTGGATACCTAAACATCCAGTGATGCAATTCTTCATACACCTCACTTTTAACTTATATCTAAGGGTTAAAACGTTCGCAAGCTCTCGTTGAATCTATTTTACCACCTCTGGAAAGAAGTCAATCTGCGTGTAAAAACCAAATTTGTGGCTTGTTTAGTTATCAGATTTCTGGACGTTCAAGAAGTCGTTGAACCTTTCGATAATAAGACTTTCAACTTTAGTGGCTCAGTCCCTTATTATGATTAGATCACTAAAGTTATCTACTTAGGTGGACTATTGTTACGGGCTGTACCCAGTTCGGTTAGGTTGGGCTATCTTTCTGGCCCAGTCTCGTTCAAAGATACTAACCACGTGATCTTTAGTAGAGTTTCCCCCAACTCGAATCATTCGGTTAATTTTGCTGAGGCTGGTTATCAGATCACTCATTAGCAAAAGAATACGTGTCGGGAAACTGGATCACTGGTGGCTGCAGCGGGCGTATTTGATGCAGAGGAATTCCTGTAGTAAATCTCTATAGAGAAATATCAAATCTTTGTGGTACTGTTTACGTGCGGTATCCGTAATTCTCCTCGCCCTTAACATCCGAATATTCAATGTGCCAGTGAGGGTCCAAACATTGAAAGGCGCCGAAGCGGTCGACGCAGAGTGGGTCTCTGATGAGATCACTAGAGTGACCCTAGAAGAGCTATTACAAGTGCGATCACACGGGACAAGCCGTTGCGGTGCGCCAACTCGCAACTGTTAGTGTCTTTTTCCCCGGGATTTCGCGCCTCGTATAGGCTTCCGCCTTTTCGACGAGTCTGGAATGGCTGCACAGCTCCAGTATCGTCATCAAATTGAGCAGTGTCGAAGTTGATTCGACCACCACGCTACCCTTGGCTGCTCCCGCTCTCTCGCTTGCTGGAATTGTCGCTCAACAATGTACTCCGCCGCGGAATGCAAAGCTACTATCGAGCGTCGAAACTGTAGTGATCCTCACTGTCCGGATAGTCGAGAATGCTTGGCTCGATCAACCCAAGCTAGTCCAATAACCAACGAGCAATTAGTTTTCTTTCGACAGGGCATCCAACGATAGTTCGCTGCAATAGCTCGAGCGAGGGCTGCTGAAAGGAAGGCCGGGTCAGGAGGTCACCCAACTCGAAAGATACGATTATATCGGGGGGAATAGGCTTTGAGGCCTTGCGCCCCGAGGTATAGGCGTGAGGTTCGAGGAGCACCTGGAAGAAGTCAGTAATGACTTCAACAAGTTTTGAAGAGGTACCAACAATTGTCGAGGAAATCCGCCAACTAATCTCTAGCTCTCAGCGGAGATTGAGCAATTTTGTCATTTTGGAGATGTGACGGACGAGAGAATTTGTGGGGAATACATTGTCTGGATACTACTTAAAAGAATCTTTTGTTTTTCTATTCTATTTGCGATATACTTTGGTTTTCGGTTTCGACTAGCAATTATTTTTGTAGCGGTTCAAGTGTTTGGAACAAGTTGAGCGTGTCACAGATATGACATTAGTTATTGAATTGAATTGAATACATTACGTATCAGGCTTATGCCCTACACCCAATAGGCGTGATACGGGTCTGTGCTCCCTGGGGCCACACTACAACCTAGGTACATAGTTTGCTTCTCAGAAACTATTTGTAGAAGACATAGATAATTAATTAAATTTCGAAAAAAAAAACGCCCTGCGCCTTTTCTCCTTCCTCGTGGCCCTTAGTCCTGTGGAAAATTTCCTCCGGCAGGACTTAATCCTCCCGGTTTGCGCTCTGCATCTCGTAACACTTAGTTACTGTTAAGAACTGGAGAAATTTACCCCCTCCCTTTTCTGCCAGCATCTCCCGTCCACTCGGTGGTGGTTCATGCTTCTCTTCTCTCCAGTGCCGTAGAGCAATCCGACATTCGGCAAAATGCCAGGGACGTTTCTCTCTTCCGCAAACGCATTTGCAGTTTTCCCATTCGTGGCCAAACCTTTCATGGTAGTTCCTAAAATCACCATGTCCCGTCCTCGCTGCGACCAAGTGGTGATGCGCCCACCTCGGAAGTGCTAGCTCTGGTGGACGTTTTCGTTTCATTCGGAGATCCAACTCCTCATAGCGGCTAGGTCTATGTTTTAGCCACCAGGATTCCACCGCTTCTTCACACCTTTGCCTGACAAACCGGTTGAGGGCTGCGAAGGTGTATTTAAGTCCGTCCTTAATTGTTGAGGGATCTGTAGTCGTTTCAGCCGGGAGTTTCCTGAGGGCTTCCTTCGCCAGTCTGTCTGCCTCCTCGTTTCCAGTGATCCCTGAGTGGGCTGGTATCCACCTGATTTCAACTGATCTGGCTCGTCGTACTAGTCTTGTGAATATGTCTACCACCGCCTGAGAAGATTTCGTTCGACCGGTTTGAAGAGCTCTTGCGGCTATGGAGTTATCGAGGAGCACTTTTATCGGAGAGCTGCCCGCTTTTCCTATCGCTCCTTCGAGGGCTTTTTGGGCGCCAAAGATTTCGGCATCGTACACCTCCGCCCCTGGCAGAGGACCGGCATCACTCCCAATCATCTGGCCTCCTTTGTATAAGATGTATCCCCACGCCGATCTAGCAGGTCCACATGATGAGCCGTCTGAGTAGGCGCAAACTGTCTCATCCGACAGGCTTGCTATCCATTGCTTAGCGTGAGCTGCTTCTTGCTGCTTGTCACCGCCAGTGAGCTGTCTGATGGGCTCAGCTTTTGGGAAATACAGTTTGCCGGGGCCCTCGGCCATCGGCATATTTTTGGCGCTGATCTGAAGTCGCGTGAGGTACCTTTCTGGGCACTTGAATGGCCGGTTCCTCTGACCTATGCGGAGACCTAGGCGGCTTACTGTATCTTTTGGCTCCTCTGTAGACCTGAATGCTAAAGGATGCCACGCGTCCAACCTTTGAATCCGTGCGGCAGCTAGAATTTTTCTCTGCTGTAAGATAATAGCAGATGGGGGAATACCCGACTCTCTGTGTAGCGCCGTTTTTGGTGTAGTTCGCCACACCGGTAGCGCAGCTCGAACTGCCTTCAAGATAGTGCTGTCGAGGAGATCAGTGTGCCAGCCTACTCCTGTGCCAACCATTTTGTCCCGCTGGGTTGTGATTCGGGTGAGACCTGGCCACCACGCTTCGGCTCCATATAGTGCCGTACTTAGGACACAGGACTGCACTGCTTTAATCATCGGTCCCGGATCTGCGCCATGCTGGACCGAATTTATCCGTCGTATAGACTGTGTTATACGTTGCGCCTTCCCGCACCATTCCTGAACGTGTTGCTTGAAGTTGAGTTGAGAATCTAGCCATACTCCCAGCCATCTCACGTACGGGGACGGGGCTATGCAGTGGCCTTGGATCTGGACAGCTAGACCTGCGGTGTTCAGCTTTTTCCTTGGCCCACCTCCAATTAACAGTAGTTCAGACTTTGCCGGGTCAAAGTCTATCTGGTTTTCGCTCGCTAATTGCACGAGTTTGTCGACTTCTTTCTGGGCTTCGGCCACTGCTTCAGACGCGGTGCTCCCTATGCTGAGTATAGCGATGTCGTCAGCGTACCCGAATTTTGTGCTCTTGTTTCCGTCTCGCATCAAGATTTCGATGTATAATAAAAACAGAAGGGGTGATAGCGGCGACCCTTGTGGGACTCCGCACTCTGCAACTTTGTCCCGCGTGGTTCCATCACGGTGTCGCACCCTTATCCTTCGTTGGGTTAGAAATGATTCTATCCACAGGCAAAGTATCCTTGGCCATCCCTGATTCCGCAAACGATGGATCAGCCGTTTGTGCAGGACCGCGTCGAACGCTCCTTGTACGTCCAGAGTAACCATGGCCGTTACCTTCTTGTATCGCATTGCCGCCTCTACATCGTGTATGACGCAGGAGACCAAGTCAACTGCTGAGCGACCAGGCAGTGCACCAAACAGCTGTTGAGGAACGACTCGGTGCTCGATTGCTAGCCAGGCCATTCTCTTGGCTACAAGTCGTTCCAAACCTTTCCCAAGACAGGATAGAAGAGAGATTGGTCGCCACCCTTTAGCTGTTGCGAGGTCCCGTCCTGGCTTAGGGAGGAGGATGACCTCTGCAACTCGAAACATAGTGGGGAAATGTCCAAGCTGTAAACATGCTTGAAAGAGGTTCTTCACTTGTTCGCCAATTTGCTCCCAGCACGCCTTGAGCAGCCGAACCGTGATTCTGTCCGCTCCTGGAGACTTGTCGCCTGTTCCAATGGTGCTCGATTTTACATCCTCTGTCGACAATATTGGGTTCCACGGAATAGTCTCTGGTTGTCCCGTCTCCCATGTGGAGAGATCGTGGGCTGCGTTGAATCTAGTCATCAAGATGTCCCTCAGGGTTTCTGCCCTCTCGAGTGGGTCTGATAACCATTTGTCCTCCGCGACCTTCAGAGGAGGAGGTTCTCGACATGGCTTGGGTTTAGCCCATTGCATTATCTTAAATACCTGGGTGTCCGTGATGGCATTCTCGATCTGTTTTCTCCAGTGTTCCCTTTTTGC